TCCCTCTCGAGGAACGTATTTTTCGAACCGGCGTCTCGCGTGGAATATAATTCCCTGCTGTTCGCCTCTTCTCCCTTTTTTCCCTCCCCTCTCGTCCTTTTTGTTTGCCGCTGAAAGCGGCGCGATTTAAGGGAATAATTCTAGGGGATGAATAGCGAATTCGCTCGCGTGAATTCGGTTTCTTCCAGCAACGCCGCGGCTTCGCGAGAAATGTTTTCTTGAATAAGTGATAAGGCGCTCGGGTAGATTGTTTTCGCCAAGAATAACGCTCCGAACGCGTGCGTATGTATCGTGTCAAATAAGCGATAACTTTTTAATGGAAACGCCGGCTCGAGGAATGGCGGCCTGAAGGCTGCGGGGAACGGAAATCGAAGGAACAATTCGATTCTGTATTTTCACCAGCTTCTAACATTAGTACTATAAGACACGGGTACAATTGACACATCGAGTGTGCTTAAAATCGTGGTACTGTTGCTACGACACTGAAATTCTTCGCTTATATTATTATAATTATTCGATTAAATGCTTATATTGTGAATTTAGTAAAATTCTAAAAATTGGAATTTTAGTCAAAGAATTTTAATACTTTTCGAGGTTACGAATTGTGAGTTCATCGTGATGCACGATAGAAAGAAGATCTCGCTTGTGCATATTTCTATTTTATTGGCGATGAAAATTAAAATTCTTGAAAGCAGAGTTAATGAAATTATCTATGCCTACGCCAATGGTTTAACACTAGATTTATGGAACCCGTCAATTTGACGGAAGGGATGCTCCAATTATACGATGATAACAGATTTACTTAATCTATATTAAGACTGTTAATATAATATATAATTGTTTTTAAATTAAACTAAACGTTATAAAAAAGGCACGTGGATTCCTTTATCTTGGTCAATTTGACAGGTGTCCTTAGAAACAAGTATACAGATAGTGTCCGTAAACCTAGTGTTAACATCCTTCATATTCCATTAATTTTCGTCTCATTACTCTCCTTGCCACTCACCCTAAATTGTACACGTAATCGCAGTAGCGAATAATATACTGTGTGTAAAATTAAACATATTTCTTCCATTTTAACCCCACCAAGAAACTTCAAATTAATTACAGTGATTCTACGCGCAAAACCGAGTGGAAAATAAAGAATAACGTTTCCCCATTTGGAGCTCCGTTTCGTAGAAAAATAAGTTCAAAGATCCGTGGGTGCTCGCGTGTCAAGAGCGCGAGCACCCAACGCAAGTTGAACCTCATTTTCCTCGAAAACGAAGCTTCGAACGAAAAAATGTTATTCTTCATTTCCGACTTATTTTTGCACGTATATTATTTTGCCATAAATTCGTGCACCCCGTGTACGACGTAAATCACTCGTGCACACCTGTCGGAGCAAAGAATTCGAAATCTCGCACGCTCCCGGTGCGGGAACCTGCACGCACAATATCCGCTTATCACGAGGCGCGGTTTAACGGTTGTTCGTTTCATTTCAGAGGAGGTGTTCGGGTCTAACAAGGCTTTATGGTTCTCTCCGAGCGGCAATAAACTGGCCTTCGGTTACTTCGACGACTCCCATACACCGATCATAACGATACCGTTTTATGGTTACCCGGGCAACCGGATGTTCCAGTACACGTCCACGATCTCGATCCATTACCCCAAGGTAAGCGAGCATGCTGCGGGAAACGAGGGAGGGAAACGGGGAATCCCGCGGCTGCCTCTTTTGCATTCCGTTTGATCTTTCGCGGCCCGCCACCGCCGCGAGAACCAAGTCTCTGCGAACCGGGTCGACACGGTTCCAGCTCGCAAACGCGCGGCTTTTGTGCAGTTGTCGGGCGACTGCATCGAGTTCTAGACAATTCCAGGCTGGCTGGTACGTGTGTGGGTACGTGAGCGAGAATCCGTGTGAGTCTTCGGTCAGCTTCCGAGAGAGGAGCTTTGTGGATGTTAGGAGATGAGAGTATTGAAGGAACTCCAATCCGAGGTGTTGTTTAAGCGTTTCGCGCTGGGACCTCGTTGTCCGGATTTTATGAACACCCCTTTGGGTCACGACTGCAATTAACGATGCCTTTAGAACGGGTCGCGGTGAGTCCGTCTTGATGGTGGCACGCTAGGAAACGTGTTCGATTTTATTTCTCGCGCGTTGTGGTTATGCTCGGGGAATCGTACAATTTACATCCTGTCAAGTGGAAATTTTTATTAACGTAAGTATCTCGAGTTATCATTTTTCTGCTATTGCATAACGCGATTGAATAATAACGTCGTGGATAAAAATCGGACCGAAGCCGTTCAAATTGGAACGAAATTTGTATCCCCTGTCAGTACAGCTGTTATGCATGCTGCTCTATATTAATCGATGGTTTATTGAAAACAGAGTCGAAAATTCATTTCGTTGCTAGTTTATTTCACAGAAAGAACCATATTTGGACGGTATATTTAACTATCGATTTCGAAATAAATATATTCCCGAGCTCAAAAAGAATTTCAATTTCGCGACCAAACAATACCACAGCTGATATTCCGAAAGACTCGTGACACTCATTCGATCGAATAAAATCCAATTCGAAACGATCCTCTGCAAGTGGATTAAGTCGATCCAGGATGAAGCTTTAAATACGAAATTATTCGTCAGCAACGCGATTTAAAACAACAAATTCGACGATACCAGCGGGCTTGTTGCTAATAATCTTTCGTTGCAGCATCGGCACTCTGGATGCAGAGTGTCTGCATAAGTTTGGCGATTTCCGGCGATTCCACGTTTCCGTTCTTCCCCGAAATTCGTGCTCAACTGTTAAAAGAGTAACTGACATGGAAACAGCCGGATACGGCAGACTCTCGAAAGAGCGACAAAAAAGGAGATTGATACTCTCCGAGCTACACACACCCACTGCCGCGAGATTACATCGGAAAACCTTCGTATCCGGCCGCGTGTTTCCTTCGTGGGCAAAAGAAGAGGCCGTATAGTCGAAACAAAACACCGGGGAATTAATATCATTTGTTCGGTGTTGTCAGTTTCCACCGTGTATTCCACCGGTCGAAGAAAGGCCCGGTCTAATTTTTGTCTTTTTCCCGCGAAACTCCACGTTAGCCGGCTGAAAGCGGCGTGTCTATTTAATGCTTCGAGTCCAGGCCTTTTTTCCCCGCTTTTTCCACCCTTTCTCTCCTTTTTCACTCCCTCCGGCCGCTGTTTACCCGCTAACAAACTTCCAGCGGTCGGCCATTTTCTCGACGCGCGCGCTTTAAATGGCGGCCGGGTCCGGTCGGCTGCGTGCACCGCGCGCGCCAGTCCCCGAACAAAAATTACATGCCGGCAATTTGTTTACCCCGCTTTTCCACTCCTGCAGACTTTTCATTACAACTTCTAACGATCCTCCTTCTCCAGGTAGCTTCAACTTGCGTAATTTAAGTTACACAATCGCCACGCGGTTGGCGGCCATGTTTGTTTCGCAGTTGGAGCTCGCTGACCCGTGCGAGACCGTGTTTCTCGCGACGGTCTCGAGATGTCGCTTCTTTTCCGACGCCATCTTTGCAACTGACGTTTGTTTCTTCTTCTTTCTCGTGGCAATTAAAGAAGTCGAAGACCCGAAGGCACCACGGGACTTCGTAAATTGCTTCGTAGAGGTAATCGCTCGTCTGGCAGACGCTTAATCTACGTAACGGATGACTGTGGAATATGTACACGAGGCATACTTGGGCAATGTGTCCGTCCCTCAAGGTCCGTTTACAATGTATCAATTACACCTGACGACTTTGTAACTGGAATAACCCCCGGGGAAAGTTGCCGGGGAGTTTTTCAGCTGCAGCTGGCTATTATACGCAGTCAGGTTTATAACGCGTTGCAAATTTTTATATTTCACCGGTGGAAAAGTTTACATCGTTTCGCGAATTGAATACCGCGAGCATTTTGCTGACTTCTGCGTCCGTGAGAGATGGTCCACGGAACCACCGTGTGATAAAATGGCGCGAGATAAGATTACAACCGCTCTATTAATGCGAATTCCGCGCTTTGCGAAATTTTATCGAGCGTGGAGGAACTGCCATTGCAAGCTACACACTTGGTCATCCTTGACTAGCTTTATAGTCAACGTGTTTATTCCTTGTTTTATAATTTTGTCGTGAGAAAATATTTAATTTTAATTACTCGCTATATATCCAGTCCGCACTTGTTAAACCACGCGTAGGTCAAATTTTACGACCTAGTGTATCTCCTCCGTGTCAGATTCAGTATGAAATATTCGCAACGAATTGGACTCGTTGTTATGACTCAAAAAATTAGTATACAGGGTGTCCAAAAATTAAACGATCTTTAAATTTCGACCCTAAGGTCGTTGAGCGTTTAAACAACCCTAACTCGACGAGAAAAAATCGCACGAGAACCAACCAGGACTCGTTTCACAGTCCAAAGCTTCTACTCTCGGATAATCACTGCAATTAGTTTCTCTCGAAGGTATTTTTGCGTTAAAAAAATGAAGCAGAGAACCGGAGATGATTTTTCCC